GTGAGTAACAGCAACTCGAAGAGTGAAACACTGGTGGGAGAAGGCAAACACTCACTCACCCAGGAGGGTTAAAGCCTGACTCTTGCTCACCTGGCACTTCTGAAACAAGAGGGAAACTGCAAATCCCATAGTTTATATCAGTGCCCCAGTTACCAGACTTTTGCTTATTCCAGATTAGATGAGGATCTTTTTCTTTCCCAGAGAGTGCTTCTATTTTTTGTGCTTTTTAATAACCAGGAACATCTCCTTGGGTCTCAGTCTCAGGAGCAGCTACAACCAACATGGGTGAAGTTATTACAATTAAATCTGCCCCTTTCATACACAAAAAGCCAATAATAATAGTAACAATACATTTACTAAGCATCTCTAAATCTCTCTCCTCTTTTTCACCTCAAAACGTCATGTTAAATTCTTTAGAAGGCAAAGTGACTTCCCAAATGTATAAAGTTTAGAATGTGCATCGTGTGCAATTTTCTATTTTCTGCAAAACTTTCCCCACAATCGAGGATATTTTTCTTCTTACACTGTGTGCTCTGCTACTTTTTTTTTTTAAAATCAACAACAAAAATTTGGCAGGCAGACATGCAATGAAAACACAGGTCTACTGCCATTACTTGCGTAAGACCCTGCCTGGTTTCACACACTAAGAGCACTACAGAAACTGCAGGTTCCAAAAGCAAAGGTCGTGATCTGAACTGCTAGATACGGCAGAAAATTTGGGGATTCAAGTAAGACAATTCCATCTGCTTTTTTAAAACTAATTACAAGTTTGTTATTTAAAGAACCTCTTGCTGACACCATCTAATAACTCTGTGATGTGGGTAAGTTTTTTAATTAGGCAATAATATATTCAGGTCCCTGGGATAGAAATTAAACTGCCATCACACCAGTAACCTCCAGAAGTGGGCAAAATGCTGTACAGATGTTTTAAAATCACAACAGGTCCATCTAATACACATCTAATTCAAAGCCAGCAAAGGTTACTGGGTGCCTCGTAGGAGCTGCAGGCAAGAGCTGTCGGGCTCAAGAAACAGCGCTTTCTCCAGGGCAGGGTTGAGATGGGGAACATGCTGATAAGGACCGCTGTGTCCAGCTGAGTTCAAGGTGGATTTGTTTTTTAGTTTTGCCTCCTCTATAGAGCATTTATTTTTAAAAACATGCAAAGAAATCCAAATATCAGTCCCAACGCAAGCCTCTCCACGTTGCACTCTCAGTGCTTCCTCTAGAGAGATCACGGAAAAGAAAATGATCCTTCCCACGGCAGAAAGCGGTGACTTAAAACATTCCTGGGATGCATCCAGATACTATACTGATCCTACAGTATGTAGAACAAAATAGCTTATCATTCAGATTATACTCTCAAAGCTGGATAGCTTCAAGGACAAGGGAGTTGCCCTAGATCAGCACCGTAAATGTTACTATATATGAAACAGCTGCAAGATAAATTCTTTGATATTACACATAGGTATAGCTGTGCTTTCAGCTGTCTCACTGTTGAAACACTGTACTACTTACACGGATTTCTCTATTTGTAAAATGCAATTCTTATTTGTGTATGAATGAGTAACCCCTTACAGCTGCAACGTAACGAAACAAAAAAACCAATATCACACCAGACCTGTGCCAAGAGCCAGGGCATCGAACTCCAGAAATCCTTCATATGAAACCTTCTTAAAAAATGAACTTGGTAAACAGGGGAAAAAAAAAAATATTACTAAAGAAACTAAAATATGTCTGTTAGTTAAATGAATAGTGCTATTAAGAGAACAAAGCAGCTTCACCAATTCGTAAGTACGATGTTTGTGACCTTTCTTTGCACTCTTCAACTCTCTCCTATTTTTCCTTTCTTTTTTGAATCATCTGAGAGAAATCTTCCAAAACCTCTTCAAGGAAATAGTCTGCAGCCACAAGACTTTGTGCTAATGAAGTTCCAGAATTATGAAGCCAGAGGTCAAGAGCACGTCTTCCACAATGTCTGGGCTAAATTTGAAATTAAAAGGGCTGCTTAACTCAGAGTAGAGGATGAGTAAAGCAGGGGAAAGAATAAACTCCAGTTGAAAAGTTTACTAGAAGCAGAAATAACTGAATGTGGAGAAAATCTGTAAACTAACCTAGTGACTGGTGCCTCAGCAGCCATATTAGTACTGACTGAAAAGCAGCCCATCACATCCTATTATTTTTGATAACCTGCATCAAAATGCACCTACCAGATATCAAACTAAGCGAAATAAAGGAAAGAGGAGAATGACAGAGTGACATAGGTGCTGTTTCTGTTCCAGTTGCTGACTGACAACACTGCCATCCCTTAACATGGTTTTATTTAGTTATTACAACCATCTCTCTGTAAATGACACTTAGGATTATTTAAGATTATGTTGTAATCCTTTTAATCCTCAGTGCTTTAAATTTCAGGCTAAACACCAAAGAGCAAACTAGCACTTAGCAGAAATATTTAAAGAATGTGATTTGAGCATAAATCTTCTTTTATTCACCACTCCTCTGATGAAGACCTAGTGTATCGCGTCATTCAGCCAACGAGAACAAACAGCACGGTATCTCACTGCAAACTGCTACATTCATCTTGTGAAGCTGTTTCTAACCAGTTCTTTTCCTTGGTGCTAACTATATCATCAATAAAATAAATGAAGGAAAATCAGAAGGTTATATTTTATAAGATGTGCATATTTTCAGTTACTATTAAGAAAATTTGAGGATAAAACCCACGTAACATGTTCATCAAGAACAGAAATAGATTGTATGCACAAATTGGATAGTGTGAGAGACAGATCAGACTTATCCTGTTAAACAGAGTAGCTCAATTAAAATGACTGGAGTAACACTGCTGAAAACCTCATGATCAAGACCAGAAACACAAATCTTCCTGCCTGAATATAATTTACTTACCATTTCCTCTCCCCCCCTCCCCTCCCCCGCATCGATCATGTTTCCAATTAGTTTTCTTTATGATACCCCTATACTCCATCTTCTTGTTACCATCCATTAACTGTCATATACTTAGATTTTAAAATTCAAGATTTCCTTCAAATCAAAATCTCAATAGTAATTTTCTATTTCTAATCTATAATTCACATACTCAAATTGAGTACCCAGGCTAAAGAAAACTCAAAATTCTGCATCTACCTATAGTACAACACATCAGCAGAAAGCAACCATTGCTCTGTTTGAATCAGAAAATAATGTTTTATTATTCAGAAAGTAATGAAACAAAAACCCACCAACTATGCTTTGTTGCCGTGCTTTGAAGATATAATCACACTTATTTCGGCTCATTTCAGAGTCAGGCAGCTAATGTATTTAATCAAATAGAAATGTGATGCCTCTATAATTAGGTCACAACAAGAAAAAAATATATACTTAAAAATATCACCGATGTTGTTTTTATTTGAACAAATCTCTGAATAAGTAAACATACATTATCAATCTTATTCCCACCCACTAAGGGATAACTAGATCATCAGAAGCGTTTCCTGAAATATTCAGTATCCAGGTACAAACTGACCTCTCCGCTTTCGAACTCGCCTTGGATTCCCTCCAGACTATCTCATAAATCTTCGCTCTCTCTCTAGTCCCCTTCCCACTCTATCTGCTCATGTAGCACCAGTCTCGTTCAGTCCTTTCCTTTCCCAAAATGTCACCACTACTGATGCCAAAGCCTTCTCCTCTTTCGCTCTTACCATCTGGCATAATCTTCTTGTAGCTCTCTGTCTAAACAATGCTCCATCCCTTTTCAAAATGTGTCTTAACATATGTCCTTCCTCCCATGCTTCTACTTCTTAATGTCTCTCCCACTCACTTATTGGCTTGATGAAGACACGTTTTAATGGGTTCAAGCAGTAGTGCATGAGTTTCCTTTCTCACATTATTCTGATTCAGTGGAGTTTCACCTCATGCTAACAGAAGTGAGAAGAAAATGCATTGCAACGTCTTCATACAACCGGTTTGGTAAATCAATAACAGAGCTTCAGTTGTCTTTACATTGGAAATGTATTAGCTGCAATGAATCACCACTCCGATATGCATTTCCAAACAGAAATTTTGCTTACTGCAAAATGGGAAATAAACCCTAGAAGCTCAGAAGACCTGTCAGTGTGCTCAGGGGGTTGCAGGAGTGAAGGCTAAGGTTATACTTAATCACATTCCAAGCGAAAAAGCTGAAGATTGACAGCAAAACCAAAATATTTATTCTAAAAATACCTAGGAAATGACAAAACTCCAAGTGTTGTCTCAAGACAACCTGAAGGATGTGGGGGGTATAGAAGCATAAGTCTCACTGTCTTGAAGAGGAGGAATATTTCTAAATATTGCATGCACTTTAGAAAGATGTCTAGAAAAATAAACCTTGAAAAAGTCTCTGTAACACTCAGTTGACCCGAAGAGATTTCTTTTCAAGAAGCCACGTATTGTCCCTTAGGGGTTTTTGTGTGTGCGGTGGGTTTTTTTTCCTTAAACTCCAGACCCAGGCACAGTTGGTTTCTCCAGCATGTTTCATCGGTGATGATGCCAAAGGACAATCTGGTAACTAACAGTATCTTGACCCTAACATGTTCCCTTCTGCATCTCTCCTCCCTTTATTGTTTGTATTGTTAAAAATTCTTAACTTCAGAACTCTGGGAAAAAGTCTGTTCATAGAGAATAATATTTTGATGTGGTTTGATGCAACTTTCAGTGAAACAAAAAAAAAATACCCCTTTCTACGGATATTCATGGGAGCTGGATTATGTCCAAAACCTGAAGATGTTGCAATAAACTATTTTAGCCCCTAGATCTTGGAATGTTAACCTTGCAGTAACGCTTTTCTCATCCTTTCATCTTGTTGGGCCTTGATCCTCCCTTTCTATTCAATGGGATTTAGATTAAGTAATTAAATAATATTATTTTCCATCAATGAAGAATAGTCCTATGAGAAATACATGTCCTTCTATGCTGGCCTTGACAGAGTCAAGCTTTTGAAATCCTCCCCTCCCCTTCCAGAAACAAACCTGGGTCATCACCGTCTGAGGACCCTGAACAGCAATAAAAACAAACAGAGCAACCACACTGTGTTGGAGCAATGCTTGTATAAGCAGTTTGAAGAAGTTGTGTTTATGGAAGTCCTTTAGGTCAAGATTCTAGGCCTGAACCCAAAGCAATTACCTACTAAGTTTTAAAACAAATTGAATATAGAGCATTAATCAATAAATCAACAGGTTCTCAAGTGTTTAGGAGACTCACTCATCAGAAATCCTTCTCTTAGAAAAACAGTAAACTGATGCTTGATAAAATGTAACATTCCTGTATTGGTAAGAAAAAAATGCTGCATTCAATCGGTCTCTAGTTATTAAAATCAAGGAAAAAAACCCTACCTCTTAACAGAGTTTATACTCAAATGAGCAATGAAATGCATGCATTGATTGCCTCTTACCTGAAAGACATTCTTTCTGCTGGATTTCTCTGAGGTCCACTCAATGCGAGCACCACACAAATCCACACACTCAGGTTTATATCCTGGTTTCTGGGGAGGAAAAAAAAAAAAAAAAGTGTCAACCATGAACATGGCCTGATTTTTCACAAACAGGGACAGGTATCAGGTAAAACAAGAACAGATCAAGTTCAGGTGGCAGATCGTTCTAGCACAGCTGCTGATATTACTGAAAA